GTAGACACAATAAGCCCAGTTGTGCCGGTGCACCGATCTACAGACTCGAGCTATCGCCCCATTGTAACTTTCGTCCTTGTAAGTCGTGTATGTCCGTGGGTTGCCTTGAAAGACAGCCCTTTGGATGCAGTGGTACATGAGATGGGCTTTCGGAAGCAGCGGATAGCCAGCTCGATTGCACAGCACGATGAAGCGGTCGTAGTGCATCAGCATCTCCCCAGCAATGCCTGCACTGATATCTCGTCCATGTTTGGCCATGACAGCATCGAAAGCCAGGGCACTGTGCCCGGCGTGTCTCGCCAGATCAAAAAAAAGCTGGTCCTGCTCGTTGCTGCTGGTCGACAGCCGATGCTTGTACTTGTTCAACATCTCGCACACAAATGCAAGCAGTCCGTGAGTTTCGGCCGCTTTGGCCTTCAACTGCTTCTCCGAAAGCATCGTAAGCGTGATATTCCAGACCTCGGCTGGGGTTGGCCCCGGGAACTCTTATGCTTCGAAACAACGGATTTGATTTTGCTATTTATAGGTTCAGAAATCAAAGTTTATTTGGACATTTGCGGCACCTCGGAGCCCTTCTTGGACCAGTCCGGGTCCTCTTGCCGTCGCAGCTTGTAGTGACTCTGTAGCTCAGCTCTCATGCAGAGCAAGGAAAGTTTGCTGAGCTCTTCCTTGTCTAGTCCCACGATTGAAGGCTTCCAAATGTCGGTGTCCATCAGTAACTTTCTCAGACTCACAGTGATGTAGGTAGAGAGCGGCCCAAAATGCCACGTGTGAAGAAGATCAATAGTCCATGACTCAAGATTGACACCAGGAATCCGAAGGAAAGGGCTGTCGTGTAAGACCCTTCCACCCTCGCCACCAACATAAAACTTGCAGACAAAGGGGGTCTCTAGACTTTCGAAAAGCCCAACATCAGGTAGCGAAGCTGACGGCTCCAGGCGGCTGCCCTTGGGGAGGCCCAGAGCAGGGAAAGCCTTTTTCAGTGTTCGGCCCCGGCTGTCGCGGCGATACACCAAAATCCTGTAGATCTCCTGCTGGGTTTCGGCGTTTGCGATGGTGACTTCCTTCAGGGATTGAGGGTTTAGGGTTCATTATACAGGGTTTAGGGAGTTGCCCAAAGGTCACAGAACCCTAATTATATATAAGAAACCCTATAGACCCTAAAACCGCTCGCCTTGAAGTTCTGTCGGATATATTCCTTCATTGATTCAGAATCAAAAGACGGATACGGGCACGTACCCAGGGTCCAGTTGCCCACTTCGGTCAGCTGTTCTTTGGGGCAACGGCAACAAGGACAACAGTGTTCGTTATGACTCCAAGTTCGCAAACCACACACTTCAATTAAGGCTGGCCAATCCGCTTTAAAGTCAACCACTGCGAAGCGTAGATGATCTTCATGATCTGTCGAAGAAACATCCTCCCTGAAAGCCTCGAGGAGTGGCCATACGGAGCACCAGCCGCGGCAGCCGCATTGGCATAACTCCGAGAGTCCTGCGTAATAACAGTACCCATAATATGCGGATCTGGTTGGGCCCTTGAACTTTAGACCCTACATAAGCCCTAAAGCCAAACAGAAATTGCTTGTTCAAAACAAGGCACTAAGCAGCCACACCAATCGTTGTTGTTTCGGAGTCCGTAGATTAGTAATATAGAAACCCAAGAAGTTCTCGTTCTTGGTGTACTGGACACCGTCAAAATATACAGATAATGGCACAATACGTTCTCGGGGAATTCCTTCGTTCAGGGCTTGTAGTGTGACCGGGTGCTTTTCGTACCGGTCGCCGAGAGCTTTATCATTCTCAAGGAACGTAGCCACTGTTTGCTCGCAAGGCTTTGAGGGCCCTAGCAGGTTCAAGGCTTTCAGCTCATCGCGTATCATATCAGAGGCCAGACGAACTGGGTGCTTCACGGGAGTCCTGATCAGCTGCTTCTTCGTATTCA